ATACTCTTGATCAGACACTTTCATATTTGCAACAACAAGAAAGGAGATAACTTAATCAGTTATTATTTGAATATGAGACCATTATTTTCAAATTTTTTCATGACGTTGAAATTGTAAATTCCAACCTGTGAAACGGCACCCATACAGGATGAAACTTTTCAAACAGGAATACTTTATTTTCTGGAGATTGATTTCATAGAGTCCCGTAAAAGTGACGGGAGTTCACCATGCATATTTGTTCCGAAACCAGATAAAACATTTCAATAATCCATTGATTATAGGAAGGTAAACATTGTGACTAAAACTGATTCGTTTCCATTACTAAGAATCGATGACTGCATTGATAAAATTGAAAATGCTAAGCATGTCACCAAATATGACCTTCTAAAAGGATTTTGGCACATTCCGATAACGGAAAGAGTAAATTAAATTTCGGCATTATTGACTCCAGGTGGACTTTATCAATGTAATGTGATGACTTTTGGGATGACGAGTTCGCCAAGTAATTTGCAACGATTTTAATCGATATGATTACCTCTGGTCTAGATAACTGTGATGCTTACATCGATGATGGTATCATCTTCAACGACACCTGGCAAGAACATTTAGTAACAATTCGTAAATTCTTTGACAGACTCACTGATGCAAGTTTGACAATTAATTTATCCAAACGTGGGTTCTGTCCTGCTTGTGTAAGATTTACAGGACATGTTGTGGGACATGGAAAGGTTAAACATATAGATGATAAGGTCTAGGCTATCTGATTTCACTGTGCCTGTCAGTAATAAGCATCTGATGCGATTTTTGGAGTATGTCTAGATTTTATCAAAAATTTTGTTCCATTTCGTCATTATTCCTGAACCCCTGACAAATGTATTTAGCAAGAAAATAAGTTTCTCTGGGCTGAAAAACTTTAGGCGGCTTATGACAAGCTAACGAGACCATATTTAAAAGTGCACCAGGTCTTACAGCTTCAAATTTCAGTCAGTCATTTAAACCGTCCGTTGATGTAAGTGATTGTGGTGTTGGAGCAGTATTGATTAAAAGAAGATAAAAATGGTGTTGATCATCCAGTGTGCTATTTTTTTTATAAGAAATTAATAAAGCACCAAAGAAATTATTAAACAATTGAGAAGGAATGTTTGGCTTCGATATGTGCATAACAATATTTTGAAGTTTTACTTCAACTCCTCAGATTATTGTGTTTAGTGATCACAACCCCCTTACTGTCATCGACAAGATGAAACAAGTTTACAGACTATTAAGGTGGAGTTTCTTGTTATGCGAATATAATATTGACATCAGGCACATGAAGGGAAAACTCAATTTAATACCAGATGCACCTTCCAGTGTTCAGAAATATTAAATCATATATACGTTTTTTTTTGTTTTATTCCATTACATGTTAATGTAATGATAACTCTTGAATTTCTTCGGGATTCACTTAGGACTTTTTATTGATAGAACTTATATTTTTCAATTTGTGAAATAATTTTGGATTTGATTCGTAAACTGTAAGTCCTTTTCGTCATTTTGCCTTGTTTTCTTGGGAAATGAATTATGTTATTAAATTTTACACAGCTTGTTGTCTCAAATGTTTTCTTGTTACTTTTGTGCGAGCCTAGACAAGCAACGACATACATACATACATACATGCATGCATGTACATACATACATACATACATACATACATACATACATACATACATACATACATACATACATACATACATACATACATACATACATACATACATACATACATACATACATACATACATACATACATACATACATACATACATACATACATACATACATACATACATACATACATACATACATACATACATACATACATACATACGATTAAACCAGATTTGGGAGATAGGAAGACGATGAGTGGTTCAAATTTATATCTTAGTCTGTTTGAGATTTGGCATTATTACAAAGAAGAAATTTGTTAAGTGTGCTCCTAATTGAACAGTGTTGATGTTTGTTTAATATAGTTTGGAACGATATTCCACAACACTGCTGCAGAATATGTAAAATATAATTTGTAGACAGTCATTATGAATTGAAGCCAATGAAGATTACAGTACAAATCAGATCGAGGGAATTGAATTTGGGAACTGGAGTTAGTAGATCATTGATATAACTTTGAGCTATGCTATGAAAAGATTTATTTTTCAAAATAGCTCTAAAGTACTTTGCTCTATTATTAAAAAGTTACCACTATACATTAACTTATAAATGAGATTGTACTAATTCTATCGTTTGGAGTTTGCTTCTCTGAGATTTTCCAAGAGTTTCCACAATGGCTACCATATCAATGAAACTGAGATATAAAAGCTAACCTTTATGCAGAGGACTAATGATAGTCTTTGTACTTTGCAAATAGATCACATGATTAATATGTTGTGTAATCATTATATTTTCATGTTCCTGTCATTTTAGTGTTGTTGCTACCAATATGAATTAATGCTAGCAATCTCTTTTGAAGAGTAAATAAGTCATCATTCCTACCTATCTACCTACCTACATACATGCATACATGCATGCAAGCATACATACATACATACATGCATACATACATACATACATACATACATACATACATACATACATACATACATACATACATACATACATACATACATACATACATACATACATACATACATACATACATACATACATACATACATACATACATACATACATACATACATACATACATACATACATACATACATACATACATACATACATACATACATACATACATACATACATACATACATACTTGCATGCATGCATGCATGCATGCATACATACATACATACATACATACATACATACATACATACATACATACATACATACATACATACATACATACATACATACATACATACATACATACATACATACATACATACATACATACATACATACATACATACATACATACATACATACATACATACATACATACATACATACATATTGTGGTAAATTGGTGGTGTTCAAAACGTTACACCGACTTCTTCCACTACGGTTCGTTGCTAGGGAATGACCTCCCGCGGTGTAATTTAGAATAATATTGATCTCTGAGCACGTATATTTAAGAGAAAAAAACAATGATCCCACTTTCAGTGAACAAATATAAAATTTAATCAATTTAACAATAAAATTTCGAATGAAAAAATCAATTTCTTTGCTACAAAAGAAGATAATGTACTAACATGTACTCAATGAAAGCAATACAAATTTTGTTTTACTATTACTTGTCAGTGACAGAATTAGTACAGTTTCATCATAGCCTACGAGTCGTGACCTTGAGATTAACGATAAAAGGCATCATCATTTATCTTATTCGAACATCGTATTTTCAATTCATTCGTGCACTGTCAACCTTTGTCCAATCGTCTTTGACCTGGACTCTTGCCAGTCGGAACTTGAACGATTTGACGAGCGTATATAGAGCTTGCGATCAGCTGTAAAATTCTTCAGACGATTTCTGCCGTAGAATTTGCTAAGGGATTGCTCAGGAATTTACTCAGTAATTTGACCAGGAGTCTGCTCAGAAATTTGCCCAGGAATTTGTTCCTTAAATAAATAAAATGTCCCGCAATGGACAATAGATCACCTTTTCCAAGTATATATTTAGAAATTTATATATATATATATATATATATATATATATATATATATATATATATATATATATATATATATATATATATATATATATATATATATATATATATATATATATCCCAGCTAAGATAATAAACCGCATAATCCTGTCTAAATGACTTGTTTTCTCACTAGTTTTGTTCAAAAATAGAGACGGTCATTACATGTATGCTGACCTTAATTCAGGTCACGAGCTAGCGGGGATTCATTAGATTCCGCTTCCCGTATTTAACACCCCATGACCTCTTTACATTAAGCTACTTAATAAGGTCTGGTGTTAAATTATAAATGGCTTAGTCCATCAAATATAACTAATCTAAAAAGTTTGCGTGATCAATTAAACAGTACGAACTAGTATATGAAGATACCCCCAATGCATGGCATACTACACAGAGACTTAATATATAACTCTACAAAACATCACCCATTTTATGTATTAGGTGGAAATCACGAAATTAATACGCATTCCTACGTATCGAATACTCAGTTACATGCAATATTGTCAATTCTTTCAATTTACATTTAATTACATGCAATCTTGTCATTTCTTTCAATGAACTGATAATTAGAAAAATGAAAGAATAAAATGTCATGACTAATATTTCACTAAAACCCTGGAAAAGGAAATCATATATACATACATCATAACATCAATATATTTTCAAATAAATCAACAAATGAAATAGTATATTAAGGATCTGGAAACTAAGATTGTGTACCTTTGCAGTTTCTTATTCGTTTTTCTCTAACTCCCAATTTATAGTCTGTCTCCTATCTAAGACAAGTATCTCGCCTTACTGAAATCACGAGAAAACGTACTTTCTACATTATCCCGGAGTCACTCTTACTTCCCGCAAGTAAGATTGAAGACTGAACCACTAATTCATTACAATTGTCACACCCTTAAATTTCCATTAACCTATCAGAATCGACTGTTTCCTAAATTCTCCTACGTATAATTTTTTAATTGACGAAAATAGATAATCATGCCGCAATTAACTTTCATTTAAACAATCAATTATTGAAGTGCTTCAAATTTTTCCGGTCGAGTTTGGAAGAGTGTTATGGCAAAATCCTAAATCCTTGTACCATAATAGACTACTCGGTCAAATTTTGTGGTGTGGAACCGAATTTCCTTTGAAGTTCAGAGATGAAATAAAAAAATCATATAACTGTCACTAGCCCTTTCTACTTTAAGTTAACTTTGGTACAATTTATTTAATCAATACTTCTAAGAGTTTCAAATTCGACACATCACACACACATACATACATATTCTTGGGTGATCAACCGCTCCGGTGGCCTGATGGTTAGAGCGCACGCCTCGGATGTGTGAGGTCGTGGGTTCGATCCCCGGTCAAGTCATATCAAAGACTTACAAAAATGGTACTAACAGCTGCCTCGCTTGGCGCTCAGCATTAAGAGGTTAGTGTTATGACTGATCGGCCTGGTGTCAGGATAATGACTAAGTAATATATCATGCTACATATCTGCTAAACATCGCTATAAACTGCCACACTGCAGACATCGTAGCGATATGACTGAAAAATTGTTAAAGCTACGTTAAAAATTAACATCACATCACATCACTTCTTGGTTCATCATAGTGTCCTACTTATATAGTTCTTTTGACTTTTCTACTTACGACCTGTATCAAACTCACGTAATCTGGCACATAATTTGACACGTAATGTTTTCAGAAATGTATTTCCCTCTTCTTTCTTAAATTCAAATGCACTGATCAGCTACGACACTAGTTTGGCTTAGTGACCCTTGAATAATTGGCGAAACCCCCAACGTATAAAAATTTACTTAACCTGAAACATGCCGAGCAAAGCTAGTAACTAAATATCTGGATTGTTTGTCTTCACAAGAAACTTTCGACTTCATTCTCTCTCAACAGTGGAAAAGAACAAAAAGAAATGTGCTGGGGCAGTTCAAAAGTCGAATGTTGTTAAGACGACGAGATATCTTGAATTATTTAGCTGCTGTTGCATTTCCATTTTCGTAATATTCTGCACGATTAGGTTTCAACTTTTACTTAGGGTTTGCTGATTCATCGATTGGCATTTAGCGACATAAAACCAGAAGCTTATCTATCAGTGTTCAAATTTTGATTTTCTTTATTTGATGGAGAGTTTTATGGTCTAGTCAATAAATACATTGGTGTGGGAATCATTCAGTTGCTTTTAAAAACAGAGCAGCAAGTCATATAGTTAGCACATAAATGATTATTGAGATATAAGTGTAAAGATTCCTTTGCTTGAAAGCATTATGATTGTATAGTATATTTCGCCATATGTTTCAACTCGGTAGCATATTTTATGCAAATGACGTGCGCGGATCTTTGAGGTTAAATTTTTCAAAAGACCCCAGCTTGCGATTTCATTCGTTTACTTGCTCGTTTTGGACAAATCTGAATTCGTTTTCCGATGATGCACGTATTTACGTGCAACCGAGAGATACATACACTTTAATAAGACATTGTCAGCTATATTTTGATGAAACACTGCTGCGACACTAAAATTTAAAAATGCTTTATAGTTTTGCATAGTAGCCACTTACTAAGGTATATTCTCAATTGGAAATTTCACTTCTCAAAAAGAGAAGATTTATATGTCTTTGTTTTGCCCTTTTTTCCTGGATGATCCAAAAAGCTATTATCTTCATTGATTTCTAAGATTCGGCTAATGTAGATATGTGAGAAAGCTTGCCAGTAGCTTCTCGTGGGTCGGTGGTTTCTTTCCGGTGATTTCCCGGTTTCTTCCTCCACCATTAATACTGGCCGCCATGAATAGCCTATCGTGTGCTGAAAAATGGCGTTAAGCCCAACAACAACAACAACAACAACAACATTGATTTCAGTTTATTTACATTTTAAGCTTATTGTAAAATAGGAGATAATCTAAGACGCACTACTCTCCTCCTTTTATCTCTGGGCGTGTAGAAAATGCAGGAGAATATGCCGTCATTGGAATCCAACATCAATTAGGCTAGACGTACGATACTTGAGTCTTTGAGAGTTCTAGGGTCTATATCATTCAGGTGCTTTGGGAATTATGATCGGACTCATGAAGATGAGACAAGCGAGAGAATGGAGAGGAATGTTTAATTTTTAAAAATATATTTTATGCACTATGTGCACGAAATGTTCGATGTAAAAATACATCGTTATCATTCAAGCATTATGGAAGTCATTTAATGAGATAGCAATTTTCTGTTTTTTTATGGATATTTAAAAGATAAATGAAAGCAAATATATTTGTTTGATATCAAGTAACCAACTTCGAGAGGGTCATTACATATATCGATATAAATATTAGGCAAGTCTATACCAATAAATCTCCATTTCTCTGCTATACAAACACAAAATTCATATTATAAGCGGAGGATTATTAAAGGATAAACTTTTTTAAAACTAAATTTTCTGATATATTACCTTGTCAACTCGTACAATATTCCAATTTGTCGTGTATGTGTGTCTTGGATTTTAAACGTAACTCTAAAACAATTTGCAGTCATATCGCTATGATTCATGCATTGTTACACTATATAGTGACGTCTAGCACTGGGGTATCATGCCGCAGACATTTAGTATAATGTCCCATCCAGCCACACGATCCTTACACTAGGACGACCAGTCCTAACATAAAGAAGCTGCTCTACCCGTTTTTATATCCCTTTGGTATGACTCGGCCGGGGTTCGATCCATTGACATCCCGTATACAAGGCTAACGCTCTAACCACTAAAACAGCGGAGGGGTCAAAATTGTCGAAGCCTATTTATAGTATGCCATTACCAGAGATGTCAATGTTAAAATGCTATTTACTGTATATACTCGCTTATAGGTAGAGTTAAGGTGCCAAAAAGAATCTGCTGGATCAGGATCTATGTTGTATGTTCTACTAATTTCTCCTTGCTAACTGCACAGACCCAGACCTGCCGGTGAATTATAAGTCTATGCAGTTTGCAGTTGGACTCTATATATAAGCACATATTGACGGTGATTTTTGTGAGTTCAGAATTAATTATGCCTATACATAGTATTATTTTCCTGGAGAGCTGGATTTATCGACAAGAGAAACACGTCGGTTTACAAATCCGAATAATCTACATGTAACTTAAGGAATAGGATAAAAGTTTCAAGATGTCAAAAAATGTAAAATATTACAATAGATCAGGTCAACCCAAGCCGGTTGTTTTCTTAAACAGATTATATTAGTTGTATAATCAGCCTACAAATACAATTGAAACGGAGATAAAGTTAGAAAAGGGGGTAGGGTGAGGTGATGCAGTTTCTGTCTCTGTATCTGCCTCTCTGCATAGTCACTTATAAGAGATTCATAAAATCTATTCAGACCTGAGAACGTAATATGAGAGTCAGATTCTATAAACGCTTTATGTATATCATCGGGCATGTCTCAAATGGTGTTGGTTTATTATTTTTAAGGAATGAAACATTGAACATGACCGGGTTAGGTAATATGAGTCCTGTTTGCTTGAAATGAAAAATTTGACATCATTGTCATTTTGTTTATGTAGCACGAACGATATCTAACCTTTTTAATTGACACGTTTTGCCTTAAACAGCTGAAACTCAATGTTGAAGAATACATATTTAATATTGATATTGATGAAAGTAGATGTCACATACGTTTAAGAAGGACGTAAATGACTTGAGAAAAATAATTAGCCTCAAAAACGAAACATGAATGGGGCCGGGAACTGTTTTTTGGCAATCTACAAATGATTAATATGTATATTTCATAATAGAAAATAGTTGCCACAAATGTTTGTTAATGGATATTGTGCAGTTTTATTTGAGTGGAAGTCAGTGTTAAATAAATGCAAGTGTGCATATTTAAATGGGTGGCTTTTGAGGACTTTATCTAGAATTTTAGTCCTCACGTGGGTCAATACTACTAAACGACAGGTCATTTAAAAACAATTGTCTAATAATTACGTAATGGATCCACTTGGTACATCCGGTATATAAATGCACGAGGAGACTTGGGAACTGACGGATCTGGAGACATGGGATAGGAAATTAAGATTAGGATAGGAATTTCGGAAATTAAAACGTGGGATTGTCATGAATGAATCTGTCTCCCAAACTTTCACATGAAGAAGACATATTTCGTTCCTCCTTAAACAAAGGAAGATTATTACATTCATTACAAATAATATTTTTTTTATCTCTTTTGGTGGCTAATTTGGAAAGATATCGTTGACGAAAATTATGCTTGTGTAATTCTTGTAATTAGACACTTTCGATAAGAAAGCCGTTGTGAAAACCTTAAAGTATAAACATGTCACCGTATGTAAATACAAATGGGTGATAAATGGACAAACTGGCATCGGTATCGGTTTCATACCACCAAAATAAATACATAAGACGACAAATATTCTAATCCTTCATCACATTTCAAAGAATTTTGCCTAATTGCCGCAAGTGTCCATAAACTTTTTTTTTACAAATCTTAGTGTCTACTCTGAATTATATCGAGAAATTATATCACGCATTAAATATTATATATATATATATATATATATATATATATATATATATATATATATATATATATATATATATATATATATATTAATAATAGATGCCTTCAGTAAAGCTTGCTTATTGTCAAAAATAAAGGGTATTGCATATACACTTAATTAAATTAATTCTTTCAAGTACATTATATATCACATGTAAAATATAGTGTAGCAAAATATCATGCCCATTTAGCATAAAGGACTTTCAAAATTGTGCATATTGCTTTTCTTATTGATTTCAATGGGAAAGAATCATGTTTTAATGTGGCAGCAACTAGTTATTTAGGCATTGTACACAGATCTATATATATTTGAATTAATTACTTAAAATATTGGCAAACAGAGCAAACAAAAATAACAGTAAATAAAACAAGTTTCTGGTCTTGGTATATATCTACATTAAAAATAAATATGCATATCCTTATAGCTCTCTCTTTTTGACAATTACTTGATGGCATTCATCTATAATGGTTCAAAAAATGGAGCTTTCTACAATATATGAGCAGGAAATACTGTTTTAGTTTTAATCAACCAACCTTTGTAAATAGTTTCTTCTATTAATAGGCAAAAACAGAAATCATTATGCCTTGTCTCTCATGTGAATGACTTTCCGGTTTATTTGGACATTTCCACGCTGTTTCTTGTCTCATTAATGACTGATGCAAATATTTATCCACTCTAATGTACTGTCCAGGACTTGAGAATGGGAACGGAAAAGCAGTATACAGGTAGTGTGTTTGTTTTTATGGTAATGTTTTGCTAAGAGTGAATTCTTCTTTGGGAACAAATGATATTGATCTCTTGTACATTATTA